TGTCAGAGAAGAACAGATACGAAACTACGCTGACTTGTAAGGCCTGTTTAGAGCTTACCTGTGCACTTTCCAAAGAGCGACTTGAAACTGCAGAGCAATGACAATGACTTCATTGCAGCGTGTCCTCTGTGCTGTGCCACATGGACATCATGCAAGGGGATGTAGCTCTTTCTTCAGGTGAATGCATAAAAGACACATTCAGGCAGAGCTTTAGGCTTAAGGCAATGGCAGTAAATCTCAACATGCAACTTCCCCATTCAAGGTCCAGCTTCACATTTGTTGGAAGGATCTATTACAGCAAAATGAACAAACTTTGTTTCTAGCATAAGATGTAGGATATGACTTTGCGATGCAGAATGAAAGCACCACGCCAGCGTATTATCACAGACAGATTTGGCAGAAGAGACGAGAAACAATCAAGTGATACACCCAAAACTTATCAACACAGTTTATATGAATCAAGCAATTACATGACCTGTATTACTCACTGTAAACTACATGTGCCTTTGGTATTTATCAGTGTGGCTTATTCTGCCAAAGGGTAATGGCATCCCTATGCTTCAGGTTTTGATTTCAAATTGATATTGCTAGCAACGAAGTACAAATGGGGGGAAAATGCAATCTAGGAGGTTTCACTGTCACTCTTTGGTCACCGTTGTGTATGATACCCCAGCATAGCTGAACGTTACAAATAAACCTGATGAAGAGGGAACATTAATGTTGGCTACTAAGTTTTCTACTCTGCCTAGTTTTAGTTTAAAACAGCTGCCAGGCTCAGGGTCTCATAGGCAGGGTAGGAGCATCCGGATGGCACATGCAACCATACAGAGAACTTCAGAGGTAACCTCTCAGCAACATAAGCTATGTCTAACTCACACAAAGTGACAGAGGGCAGCTGCTTCCAGCTCCAACGGAGATTCAGCCCAGGGAGCTGGTGTGCCATTGTCATTAGTGCACAGGTAAGCTCTAAACAGGCCTTACAAGTCAGCGTAGTTTCGTATCTGTTCTTCTCTGACATAGATTTAGTCTGCTGTAAATAACGGTGCTTTTCATAAGAGGTATTACGAAATGAGCTTGGATCGCTCCTCTGTTTGGCAGCCAGTCTGAGATTACAGCCCTGAAGGGGACAGGTGGACAGTTAATGGTCTCTCCACAGCGTCTACTTAGGTATTAAATAAGACAACATCTGTAACAGAAATGGATGGGGTTTACTTAACTTATAAAATAGGATTTTACACCAAACTCAGCAACTGCTTTTTCCAGAGTAAAGGTTTGTGATTCCTTTGACAATAAGGAGGGTTGGTTTGTTTGTTTTATAAGCAAGTGATGCCAATGGATATACATTAACAGACCCACACAAAATGCAGGTTATGGCACTGTGCACTGAAAGCTGTTCCCTAATAGGTTTTGTAGCCATTCTGGAGCCAGTCAAGCACGATTCAGACTTTCACTCCCCTCACTTGCTCCAGAAATGCCAGCCCTCTCCTCGCTGCCTAAGCTACCTTCTGAGAGATCATGCTCCTCAGGGGATCCTCCTCAGCAAGAGCTACACGAGAAATGCTTCTCCAGTACCTCCTCTTCCATTTTCACAGACCAATTCCTCCTTCAGCAGCTTTGAAAGAAAAAGGCAAGAACCGAGCTTTTTATGTAAACGCGCCCCCGCTTTATTAAACCATGTTTTTGGCAGGGGCTGGCACCGGCAGCGACGAGAGAGAACAAAAGGCCTCGTATCCCCGCGTAATAAACCTCCACGGTCTGCCTGCAGTTGCGGGACCCAGCGCCAGCTCCCAGATCTAAGGTTGTCAGACCAAGCAGAACCCCCTCTGCTTTTCCCTTTTCGCTCTTTCCTCTGTTTTTCACACCGAGATTCAGTCTCCGTAGAGACTGTCAAAAATTGCCAATGCCGACTATATTTCAAGTCGTCATGGCGGGGTATTGGGAAAAGTTTTCAATTAGCAATAATCGCGCCTCGGATTAACCTCATTGGCTACGATACTGCCACTGCGCAAAGCTGACCCTCTTCTCCCGCCGCC